GATTGTCTCACTTTTGCAGCAATGACCCTTCTTTCTTAGAGGTCAGCTTATTTGAGCACCAGTTGGGCAATGTCTCCCCAGTGCAGTCTCCGTGCTGGCTGTGTGCAGCCTCTCTCTTGGCTGTCTGAGACGTCCATGACCAAGCTAGTAGAAGCTACCCTACAAGGGTAGGGCTCCCATTTTTCAAAGCTAGTCTTTCAAGCTCTTAAGTTTAATAGCCTCTTGTTTTTGTTTTTCAGGCTTGGGGAGTGCTACCTGTGTCATGAAATTTCCTCTTCCATAAATGCATCACACTCTTTTTCATTAAATTCTCTGTCAGTACGATGGGATGATTTCACATTTCTGGTCAGATTCTGGGTGATGCAGGTACCACTAATGCAGCTACCACTTCATTTACACATGCTAGCAATCTCTTTACCACTGAGTTATGATGTCCCCAGTCCTCTGTACTTGTAAAATCCTTATTAAGAGTTAGAAAGAATCTGTTCTTATACCTCTATCTGGATTGAAAATGAAAGTGTTTTAATAACATTTCCAGATGATTGTGGCTGTTCTTTGATATTAGATGAAAAACTAAACAGGAAGTGACAAGTTTAGATGTAGTGTAGAATCTGAAAATGTATTAGTAAACATTAAGGACTCTGAACAATCCATTGGTCTCTTGTTCTTTGACCCACGCATGTTTGATAACATGATTTATTAGTCATGTAAAAACTCTTGGTTCACTGAATTAATGCTTTCCTTCCCTGTGTCGCTGTATTTCATGGTACAGCCCACAAGTTCCTTTCATTAAAATAACCACCAAGTTCAGTGGAAAAGCTTTTGAAAACTAAGAGGTCAACACACTCATGGTGGTACACATAAGCCTTCCAGAATGCTTTTTGTTTGAAAACTTGAATTTTATCATTTGCAGTGAGCCTGGTAATTCAGTTCCTTAAGACAATTGGCTCACTTCTTACATTTTGAAGAAATTATCAGTCAAATGGCTAAATCTGCATAACAATGGTCTGCCCAGCATTCTCTTGAATAAACAATGATGTTGCGCAGAATAAAAGCTGCCATGTACTTCTGTAAGTGAGTCCAAAAATTGCACATGTGTTATCGTTTGAAAAGAGCCATTGTGCTTCAGGTGCAGTAGAAGTGCTTTCTGTGTCCAGCCTGTTACCTCACATAGAATGCTGGAGAGACCTAGAATGAATGATCAATATTTAGTGACCTTAAATTCTATTATTGGGGGATGGAACCCCCGGCCCCTGAGCCTGCTTGCAGGTGCTTTAATCTGCTGAGCTATTTGGCCCGCCGCTTGATGAGCACTTTGTCAAGTGGTGTGGTGTTGGTTTTCCAGTGGCTCCACTTGGCCAGCAGTTTGTGGCATCTTCCCATTCAATAGCAGGACAAGATGCAAACTTTGGTCAAGACCCTGCTGGCAAGACCATCACCCTGAGAGCCAGGACCTGTGTGTGAGTGAGGCCACCCAGGCCCACAGAACCTGAATAGACCCAGAGTGCAGGCCTGGCCTCTGAGTGATAGCACCCAGGGCAGCCGGATCCTGAATAGACCAGAAGCGTAGGCCCAGAGTGTGAGTGAAACCACCCAGGGCTGCTGGATCCTGAATAGACCCAGAGCCAGGAGTAGTGTGTGAGTCAGACATCCCAGGGCCGCCGGATCCTGAATAGACCCAGAGCACAGGCCAGGCATGAAACCCTTCAGCCGAATTCTCTGCAAATGGGCTAGAGGCAAGACCCACCCAGCTGATTCAGGAGCAGAACATCTTGCCAGAGTGACACAAAGGGTTCAACTCCAAAGGCTGCAGCAGGAAGAAGTGGAGCACAGCAGCCAGACCCCAGCCAGATCCAAGCAACACCCACCTGGAGGAATCTGAATTTATATGAATATAAGTTTCTTGGTTTTGACACAGTGAACTATTATGACTGATCTGTAAATTCTTTCTTCATTTTTATTTTGGACAATTTTTATTGTTATATTCATTTATGTTTGTAAATGATTTATTTTCAATTTGCAACCTATTAAAAAATTTAAATGAAAAAATAAATTCTATTATTTCCTCTAATTCTTTATTGCAATCAGGTTTTTTAGAAAACAGAGTCTGTGGAGTTGATGGCTGGAGCCATGCCCTTCATGAAAGTCAGGCAGTAGGAGCTATGCCACCTTGACTTTTGCACTTTATGAGCTTGAAAGAGTAGCCTTGTGAAATGGGAGCCCTACCCTTGCTGGGCAGCTTCTGCTAGCCTGGTCATGGGCATCTCAGACAGCCAAGAGAGAGGCTGCACAGAGCCTGCACGGAGACTGCACTGGGGAGACATTGCCCAACTGGTGCTCAAATAAGCTGACCTCTAAGAAGGAAGGGTCATTGCTGCAAGAGTGAGAGGTGCAAAAGTGTGCAGAGGTAAGTGCAGTGATAGAAGCAAATGACACCTGATTAAACACTGTAGGCATGAGATTGACACTTGACACCCCCGGGAAAATTCTCAGAGCACTCATGGATCTGCAGAACATGTTCTAAAGACTGCCATCCCAGAGCAGCATGCCGATTCTTTCCACTATTGGAAACTCTCTTACAAGTAAAATACTAAGCTGGATGTGGTGGCATACACCTGTGATCCCAGTATTGTTGAGGCTGAAGCAGAGGATCGCTGGGAGTGCGAGACCAGCCTAGGCTACATAGTGAGTTCAAAGCCAGCCTGAACTACAGAGTGAGACCTTACCTTTCTTATTTATTTATTTATTTATTTATTTGTTTGTTTGTTTATTAATTTTGAGACAAGATCACCCCACGCAGCTTGGACTCAGCGATCCTCCTGCTTCAGACTCCCTCGTGCTGGGATTACAGGTGTGTACTACCACTTCTGGCGTGGCATACGGTACCCGGGATTGAACTCAGGATCTTGTGCTTGCCAGGCTGGTGCTTAGACTGCCAAGCTATCTCCCCAGCCTAAGACCTTATCTTTTGCAAAAAGGTAACATACCAATTCATATAGGTTGGTCTGAAAGAAATCATACAATTTTTTTCTATTCTCAGTAATCGGTTTGATATTTTTATTTTGGCACAATGTGACATTTTTATTTTTAATAATAGCGATAGTTCATCCCACATCACATTGCTTATATGTCAGTAAATGATGTAAAATATATCAGAAAAATATCACCGTAAGAGAAAATGGCAAACAAATATATCTGTATGATTTCATCGTTTAAAAAAGTTATCAGAAGACTCTCTTGTTTTGCAGCATGAGTTTTGTACATGGACTTTGCCTTAGACGTTATAGTGCTTTTGCTGTTTCTTTTAGCCACATTTACTTTAGTTATGTTCAATGTTTAGCTCTTCCAGTTGTGAAATGTTGTTATTACTCAAATTCTTTTAATCTCATTAAAACCATGAGCTCATGGCAGTAAATGGTAGAATGTGTCTGAACCTAAACAGAAGTGTATATTTCTCATGCTTTCATATTTCTGAGGGACCGCAGGCTCGACAAACATTTCCCCGTTCTGACCAGGGCAGTCCTGATCTGTGATCTCTCTCAAAAAAGAACACACATTCTCTTTACAAAATTTAGTAAAACAGGTTTCTATTCCAAATCCACACGTTATCCTTTCTTGACACAGACATGAACTGTTGTATTTTCTGAAGGAAAAAGGTGAGCATGCAGTATCTTTCTTTTCTTTATTCTCACTCTTACATGTAAAAATTCAGTCTATTATACATTCCAAAAATGTCCCCATGTTTTATAGAACAAAATTATTCTAGGCTACTGACAAGCTGTTAAAGTTGGTTTGCTAGCTATCATTTCTACAATGTTAAGCAATAGCATAACATTGAAGTATGCAGTCTTTTTAGAAACACTTTTATTTCAAATGAGAACAATCTTTGTAAATCTGGTAAGTTAACAAAGAATAAATTGCTCTTGGTTAATTCAGCTAAAGTGAGAAGAAGACAAGCTCTTTCAATTTCTTCTTATTTCAAGCAAAGTTCACAGAAGGAATCACTTGACTACAATTTTATGATACACTTAGATAAATTTTCAGGACACACATTTTACTTCTACAATCTTAAAACCTCTGCTAAGGAAGTTGGAGGAACCATTTGCAGTATGCATAGGGAAAAGAGGCTTAGAAGTGGGTAACATTAGGAAGTGAGATGATATTTACATCTTAGGTCATTAGTTCTTTGAGAATGTCCTAAGAAACCCCTGCTGGGTATTAAATTCTTTTGGCAGATTTGGCCAGGTAGAACCAGTGGCTGTGTTTTCTTGATCTCAACTTTGCCTAATGCTGCCAGTGCACAACCAAACTGTGCACCGATGGGACACAACTCCTCCAGAGATCCATTTGGACTCCAGCTAACAACCAGGGTTCCCCTTGGTCTACAAGTGTTTAAAGCCAAAGCTGCACCTTGTGGCAAGCCATGTAGAACATGACCATGGCTGAGAACAACTGGGCAGTCTTTATCTTGCCAAAGTGATGCACTTCTTCTTTTTTTATTTTTTGAAAAGCAAACTTTCATTTATTTTAGAATGTCAGTGGTTTTACATGGCTCAGTTAAAGGTGTTTTCATAAGGGCAATTATACGAATGAAGAAATAAATTATTTATAAGACAATACATAAAAAAGACAATACATAAGGGCCAACTGCGTAGCGCAGTGGACAAATCACCTCCTTAGGCAAGTACAGGGAGCAGGGTTCAATCCCCTGCAACTGCAGCACATGCAATGCACTTCTTCTTAGAGCATTTTTGTCTCTTTGGAAATATCCAGAAATTACAAGGGAAATAAATGTTGTTAGTGTGAGAATATATATAAGTAATATGATATTAGGCTTTGAATAGAAGGTCTTAGTGAGACGAATAGGTTTATAAAAGTTTTCCTTAACACTCTTCCTCCTAAAAATTTCACTTAACATAGTTTTGGGCATCTTATAGAATCATGCTTAAGTCCTATTCTCCCTACATATTGCTTTTATTTCTCTGTTTAGATGAGAAAATGTGCTTGCTTCAGCAGCATATATACTAAAAAAAATTGGAATGATACATAGAGGATTAGGCTGGCCCCTGTGCAAGGATGTCATGCAAATTCGTGAAGCTTTCCATATTTTGGAGTCAGGGAGATAGCTCAGTAGAATAAGCACTTGCCTGGCAAGTACAAGGGCCTGAGTTCAGTCCCTGGTTCTGAAAAAAAAAAAGATGGGAAAATAAAGAAAAATGTTTCTTTGCAAAATTCTTTTACATGCTTTTTTGTGCATTGAGACAGTGATCAACCTTTCTGCCAGAGTGCATTAGAAATGCATAGCAGTAGAACACATGCTCTCTTGTGCCAAAGCAGATTAAAGAAGAAGCCAGGGGCCAGGGAGATAGCTCAGTGGAATAAGTGCTTGCCTGGAAAGCATAAGTTCCTGAGTTTGATCCCTGGTACCACCACCAGAAAAAAAAAAAAAAGCCAGCTGAGTGGTTACTGCTTGGTAAGAAGTGAGGAGTTTACATCAGCTTCCCTTTTCTTTCTAAAAATGTTTTTTCTCCTCCAATTAACATATAATTGTGCAGATACAGGAGGTAGGATACCATTCTTCAATTCAGCACTTCAGTGGTCAATATGTACCAATGAAATCAGGGGATTTGCATTTCCTTTTCTTAATTGTTTATATTTGGGGCCTTTAATCTCATCTCTTCTAGTTCTTTATAAAATATAAAAGGATTGATATGATTCTGGTCACCATACTGTATGTGGATATGGGAATTTATTCCTCCTATACAACTATATTTGGGTATATGCTATTTAACTTCTCTGTCATGGTTTGGGGGTTTCATAAGGGGAGTAATACAATACAGGGCACAGTTTATAAGATTATTTTCTGATGAATCACCCAAAGAATCATATACATAGAGTGCAGGAAATTTGTCCACACACAAAAGATCAAAGAATTCAGCTGAGGGCCTGGATCCTAATATACTGCATAAGTCCAGTTGAAAACCTAGAGCTCATAATAATGTCCCTTCTTCCCATGATTCCAATTGGAGGCCAAGAGCCCATGACAATGTTTCCTGGAGGACTGTTTCATGGATCTACACTGACAAGGCCCAAAGGCCAGTAGTGAAGCTAGAAAGTCTATGCCAGGGGGATGAAGGATCTGTACCAGCAGGCTGAGGGATCTCCACTGGATCCAGGAAATAACACTCAAGGTGAGAACCAGAGCTCCCCTGGAAAGTACCACAGCTATTCTTTGTGAATTTCTAGGGTTCCTCCTAACCTGAAAAAATTAGTCTCTATTTGTTCTTGTTCATACATTAATAGTGTTCAAACTTAAGTGTGCTGTGTATCATCTGAAACTATATTGGCCATGGTTGATGTATGAGATCTTCATTTCTCAGAAATATAAGCTCATTTTGAATGAAGGGATTCCCAAGACCAACTCTGAGTATCTGTTATGGTTTGTGTCTAGTTGTCCCCCCAAAACCTCATGTAGTCATGGGGCAGTTTCTGGAATTTGTGATTGATTTTTGATCTAATGATGGGATTATGGGTGTGAGTGCCTTGGGACAGATACTTTGTATTACAATGTAAAGAGGGGAGAGAGGCTAGCTAGCTGCCTGAGCTGTTGCCACACCCTTTGCTCTCTTGTTCTTTGCTGCTGCCATGAACAGCTGCTGTCTGCCATGTGTCACTCTGCCTTGGAGCCAGCTGAGTATAGACTGATACCTCCAGTGGCTGTGAGCTAAATAAACCTTTCCTACCTTCATTTTGTGTGTTGGGTATTTTGTCCCAGCAACAAGAGAATAAGCAAGACAGTAACTTTTATAAGCTACCTCTCCAGCCCCTTCCTAGAGTCCTATCTAACATTGTGGGTAGGATAAGAAAGACAGTGGAAATGCTTTCTGAGTGAATTTGACTTGGCATAGGTTCTTCCTGACAACCATTTCTCTAAATCAGGAGTCCTTCAATCTGGCTCTTACCATCACCATCTCTAAAAAGATGTTTTTTAAAATGTAGATGCCTACACTCATATCCAAACTCTTACTTCCTAGGCACCAGTATTTTTTAAAAGCTCTCTTTAAGACAGTAGTATTTAGACATAGAGGAGGGCTTCTCAAGATGAGGCTCCAACTCAACATCACCTGAGAAAATACTAGACCTGTGAAGTTCGAGACTCACCCTGCACCTACTGAATTGTGAATTCTAGGAATTATAGCCAGCATCCTGTCTTTAAAGAAGACCTCCAGGTGATTCCAGTACATGCTAAAGTATAATGAAACCCATTACTGTAGGTCACATATGGAAGAAGCAATAAACACTTAGATAGCACTATTTGTTTTTCTCTTCTATGTTAATATTTTCCTCATATGCACTTTATCAAAGAAGACAATATCATTCCTGACACAATGGCTTATTTGATATGAGAAATGCTTAAAAAAATTACACTGAGAGAAAATGATAGAATCTGCCCTAAAAGTATGTTAAGTAGCTTTTAAATGTGGGTTTCCTTTCAAATTAAATTTGCAACATTTAATAAAGCAGTGACATTCACAGTGGTGCCTCAGTTCACAAACACTTTGCAAACAGTTTGGTTCTCCAGCAGAAGTGTTTGGCAAAATTCTGATGTTGTTTGCAAACTCTGCATCAGGTGATGAACAAGACTGAAGCCGTCTTTTCCAAACACAAATGTGGCCATCTTTGCCAAAATAGAAGAACAAGTAATGTTCTTGAACTGAGGCACCCCTGTATTTGGCAGTTATGTAGATATTTTTATGTGTGAGGCAGTGTTCTAAGAGCTCAACAAGTATCATATGCAACAACACTGAGGCAGGTATGGCTTTAATAGAGAGCAGGAAAGTGCCTCAGGGAGAGATAGCTAATTTGCATAAAACAACAACCATGAAGTGGCTGATCCCATGTCCTTTTTTTTTATTTTATTGAGAAACAATAGCAATGAGACAGTTTCAAAACAGGTTAGTAGGACAGTTACAATAATTAATGCATTGCGTATTGTTGTCTTCATAGTAGTTATTCATAGTACAAGATGCAGACATGATATTCTGTCCAAACACTATTAGTACAACTCTTTCTTCTCATTGCATTAAGAGAAAGTAGCTGTATATCTATCCTAACTATTTTGTATATACAGATACAAAATAGTCCTTCATTTATACCGCTTTTTTGTTTAGTTTTGTCAGAGATGGGTATTCCATTGCCATTTAAATATTATAGGTGTGTGCATTCAGCAAAATGGTTGACACTAACAAAGGTTCTACAAACTGTGATACAGGGCTTCAGGGTAAATCCTGAGAGAATTTGGCTGACCTTGTCAGATATAGAAGTTACATTTCTTGTTATGCAGGTCTTGCTTTATCTTGGTCTTGACCAGCAGAAAAGTATAAAAATGAGGTATAAAAAGTAAAGCCATATTAATATGCTGAGCTATAAAAGTCTCAAGTCAACAACTTCTGACACTGCTTGTCCTACAGATAACCCTGTACTGTTATGAGCCCACGTTCTTAACTGTGACTGTATCAGGGAAAAATCATAGTTCTCCATTAGTTCTTTAAAGTGTTGGGACGTTTTGCCTTAATGACTCAATTGTCCTTCCTGTTTTCCTACTGTCTTGTTTTGCATTTGTTTGTAATTTTTTGTTATTTTAGTGTGGAAAACATTTTGTATCACTTCTGTTTATAATTTGTGTTAATGATTTTTCTTTTAATCCATGGGGAAAGTAACTGAAAAAGAAATCTGCCCTTTCAATCACAGGATGTTTTGAATCCATTGCTTTAACTAAATTGAGATCTTTGGATAAGGAAAAGGAGGTAAACATATTTCATTTTAAAAATTCCAAGCCAACACTATCAGCTTCCTCTGCTTCTTTAGGGAAAGATAAGTTGGGTTATTTGAAGGAAGTCTCCACCAAATTGAATTTTTTCCCCCAGAATGTTTCTCATGTTATTTGTCACATTGGTAAGATTTCTACAGATTGTGGGTTTGCCAGATCTTACATAGCAGGGCTAGATAGCTCATGTCTTCATACTTCTGTGTCCAAAAAATAGAGAAATTCAAGTTTCAGGTGTCATGTAAAAGGTTAAATCTTACACATTCTTGGCCCAGTTTTGTTAAATCTCTGATTAACAATATGGAGGCTTCTCCTACCGCAGTCTAGGATTTTCAGAAGAAAAATTAAAAATGAGAGATCTGCCCCCATGCAGTCCTAAACTGAGTACATAATAATGATATAAGATGTTGAAAGATTAAAACTGGCTAGATATTGTCTAATATAGATAATGCGATAAGACTTACTTCTGCTTCACTGAGACATAATTGAGGATGGAGAAGCTCACTGGAACTCTGGCTGGAGTTAGTAAGAGAGCAGATTGATTTAAGGACCTGCATTTTTAACAGTTCTCACTTTTTTCTTTTTATCCTTTTAGGTTTCTTTTTAGTTATGGGCACAGCTATGTTTCTCTACAGTAGTAGAGTATCATGAGCCAAGCTGGTTGGAAGGTCCATAGGGTGGGTGGGGGGCACAGATCCTTAGATAGTCACTGCTCTTTCTTTTGTGCTTAATCCCTTGGTCTTGTGTGCAGCTATCTATAAATAAATTTTAGTATAATTGAAAGATAATTCAGGGGCCTATTGGCTAGGGTACAAGTCTTGTTTCTGATACCTACTCGCTGCATAACTTAGAACAATTATGCAACCCCTCACAAAATCATACTCTTCATTTATGAATTTAAAATACAAATATCTATGTCATAGGTCATTATGGTAAATCAACGATTAATTATAATAGCAGCAGCAATAACGATAATCTTAGTAATACCAGAACAACTCAACAACTGGCCCTTCTACTGCAATGCTGAGAACAGTGTTAGCTCACCAACTACAAATGGGTTTCCTGTTTGACTTCCCAGACTGCTACCAGAAGATAGTGTAGGTACTTAATCATGTTAGTGAAAGTTTGCTGAATGATAAGGTGTTAATGAACAAACTCTGAACCTCTGAGCTGGTGAAGTTAAACATTTCCCCAAACATGTAATTTTGCAGCCTCTATTAAATTCTAGTACAAGCGACAAAAATGTCTCTAAGGGCTGAAAATGACTTTAAATCATTAAAATGG